GAAAATCACTTTTAAAAAAATCACTTTTCTCTCTCTGACTGGAATTAGAACAGGTTCTGCCGGTCTTGTGCCGAAGTCGGAAAATAAGTCGGGAGCTGGCAGCGGAATATTTTGTTGTCCTCCCGACGCACCCAATGATGATCTTATTGCTGAGGGTGTCGGATCAAAACAAATTAACTTTAATTAGCTCTATTATTTTCAAATGTTATTGATGTTTCAGGTTCGAAGAAAAAGTCGCAGGTCGAGAATCGAAGATCGGACTCATAGATAGTTTTAGGACAAAAATAGGACTTTTTGATAATTATCATCATTTTCTTGTAATATTGTAATAAAACAAAAATTGAAATGAATAAAATCCAATTATTTTTCCAATTGCCTTTTACAATTTCCGATTTCAATTCCCGATTAAAATCTCCAAATAACCTCATCTGAATAAATTCAACTTGTTTGATTAAATCCAAATGGCTAAACTCTTCATCCAAATAAAATCAAATTGATTAACTTTAAGCATTATTTTCTTACAATTACCTTTTCGATTAAATTTCCTGACATAATTCCTCCGATTAAATTTTCCAATTACAATATCTGATTAAGATCTCCGAATAAACTCCTCAGATAACTTAAACGAATAAACTTATTTAATTAAATTTATCCGACCAAATTTCTCCGTATAAACTCAACCGATTAAATTCGCCCGACTGAGTTCATTAGATTAAATTCACCAGATAACTTACCCGGTTAAAATCATCCAATTAATTCATCTGCTTCAGTTGTCCAACTAAATCCACTTAACCAAATTCATCTGATTAGAAATTCATTCGGTTAAAAGTCATCTGCTTGAATTCATCAAGTAAATTCAGTTAATGAAAATTGTCTGATTAAACCGCGGCGTTCCAACTCCGAATTTGACCATTAAACCCTCTTGTACGATTTAAACCTGATATAATCGCTGAGCTCAACAAACCTCTTGAAAATAAATTTGTATCCGATATTAACAGTGAATATGGCCTTAAACAGATAAGCAGAGAAACTCAGTTAAAAGACAAACGAGTTGCCTTCCGTATTGAAAATTCAAATCACATCTCGACTATTTTAACTCAGTAAACTGAATCAGCTCGACTAACAATCATGACCAAAACAACAAATGTTCATTACAAATCCCACGCTCACCAAAATTCCATTGTTCCTTTAAAATCAACTGTTGATTGGCAGAAGCGGGAAAACGTGTGTCTGTCACAATAAATTCCTCAAAGCCCATTCTCACGCCGATTTAACCCGAACCAACTGATATCTCAATGCATTCAGCTCCATATATTTTCGGAATCAAACAGTATCTCTGAAATCCGTCTGACGACTAAATCTCTGCTCTGGAATAAAATGTACTGTGGCGCAAGAAATCTGACGTCAATACTGTCATAAAATTCAGCTCACTCTCAACTAAGCCATATGATCGGATATGGGAACCCTAATTATTTGATGTATTCCTGATGACACTCTCTTCATCAATCGTCAGCAAACTGCAAATTAATGACCATTTTACCCTTCACCAATTAAATTGTGCACAATGTGATTTTTCCTGCAAAAGCAATGGACTGAGCAAACCGGTTAGCGATTAGTTATAATACAATGCAAAATGAGATGAAAATGCGAAATGAAACGACTAATCTAAGGGTAAAATCTGGGGTATTACAACCATTCACCAATAAAGCCAAAAGGGAAAGTTACGCTTAGGAAATTTACTCTTCATCATGTTCAAAACAAAAAACAGAAAATGAAACAACTAAAAAAATCAACGAACGAACACCAAAATCAACGCGACACAGCCTTTTTCAAATGCTCGCCTCTTTCACTCTTTCCTCACGGTTCAAGTTCGAATCGCTCAGGTTTGTGTGATTTGTTCATGATTTTAGGTTTGTATAGCTTGTGTTCGTATTCCTCAACTCAATACCTCCTTCTCATTCTCAATCTTTCTGGCTTTGATTCGTGTTTATGGTGATGTGGTTTGATTGAAGGGTATTTGTGGGTCTGTGGGTTTATGGTTGTTTTGTGGATTGGTAGTTTGTTTGAATTGTTGTTGATTGAAGTTTTGAGGAAAATTCAGTGAGATTGTGAAAGTTGCATAGTTTTGTGAAGGGTTTGGTGTTTATTTTGCAAGTTCCAGGAAGTTGAAAATGGGAGTCGAATGGTGGTTTTGAGGAACAAATTCTACATCGTTTCGTTGGCTGTTTTTTTGCTTTTTTTATTTCCAATATGAAAAATGAAGGTCCAATTTATAGCTGATATGAAAGGTATTTGTGGAAGAAATATGATGAAATTGTTGTGAATTCGCATTTTCGTTATCCTCCCATGAGAGTCCCAAGTCTTACATTCTGAAAATTATTGTGTGGAGCTGCGTGTTATGCTGCAAGGAGTGTACAGGTTGTGAGTGAGGTAATGTGTGGGACCTCTTGCTTACTTAATTTCTTTGTGACCTATTTTTGTGTGGCTTGGTTGCATGAAGGTGATGGTTTATGTTGGCTTGTCAAGAAAGAACAGAGGGTGGGTCGCGACTGCATTTTTGAGAGAGAGAAGCTCCCATGATCTCATTCATTTTCGTATTTTTTTTTCTTTAGCAATTTTTTTGCTGTAATGAATCTTGGGCCCTGTATTATTATATGGGCTTTTAAAATGCAATATATCAAGTGGACTCTTATTATTGTGGAGTTTGATTTTTTTTGGAAATTCTTGTAATGGGCTTGTCTCCTTATATGCTACTTGAACCATCCCAATTTTACTTGAGTAGTGAAATGGTTTTTTCAAGGATAATGATTCAATGCACTTTATGGAATATCCTGATAAATTAGAAAAATGGTGGATCTTCAAAATTTGCATCCTTGGACCTTAAGAAAATTGTGCTTCTGATTTTGTAACTTGTTTGGAATGATGACGATGAACAAAGAACACCAAATTGACTTTGAACCACGAGGCCAAATGCAACAAACCTGGATACTCTATAGCTTAATTCCGCCACATAAATCTGAACTGAACAGCGAACTTGACTTATCCAAGATTTTCAAAAAAAGTATATAAAAAGGGGTTGGACGGAGAAATTCGAGTCCGTCCCAAATAATTTTCAGGTTGGTGAAGTAGACAAAAAGGGTGCGATCACCTTGTTTAATTGAATATAATTCTTTAAGCAAAAATGAGAAACAAAAATGGTTACCTTTCATGTAGTGATCTTGCAAATCAAACCATTATTTTGCAACATTGTTAAAGTAAGTTGCGCTTTGGGAAATTTGGGGATTTAAAGTTCGAGTTATCCATGGTAACACCATATTACTGCAATGATCTTACTATTAAAATTCACATCTACTAGTGTTGGTTGAGCGAGATAACCATTGGAGCTTTTTCTTGGATGTCAGAACGCACGTCATTGATTTAAGGGATTGCGAGGGTTGCATAATAGATCTTGGGTGGTGAAATTTTCGAAGATCTTGCTAGAGAAATCATAATCGTTGTTGTCCTTCATAACTCATTATGGAAAGTGCGACAAGAACGAGAAAGAAAAGAGTTGTGGAAAAAAGAAGGAGAATATGTTTATCCCTGTAAAACTGACTTGTAAGATGAAATGTGTCACTCTTTATAAACTCTTTTTATATTTTATGTCTAACAATGTGAAACTTGTTTTTTTTCTCCATATACATCCCATATAGTTCATCACTATTGGACTAAGTGTTTGGATATCAACAAAGGGTGTTCATTGGTGTGGGTCAACTCGCGAACCCGAAGACCCAAACCGAACCAGCTTATAAATCACCTGAATACGTTCATTAATAGGTATATCTAACTCAACCCGCAACAACTCGTATAATTTTGATCGGGTATCGGGTTTGAGTATCTCACCCCGTGGACCCGTTGACCTAACTTGTTGATGTGAAACTAGTGTTTTCTTACTGTTTTTATTATTTTAAATGAAAATATAAAACTAATATATAATTAAAAATCATAATTTTGCTAAAAAAATTATTCACCACCAATATTAATCCTAAACCAACGAGTTCACGTAATTTTGAACTATGTGTTATTTTTATTTATCATTTTAACTTATTTTATAGAATAATGTGTTTTGTAGATTTATATTTTTACTATTATTAAGTATTATGGTATATGGATGAATTTTAATAGAAATTATATAGTTTGTTTTATCCAATTTAATTGTTGAAAATGGGCATAATTATATTGAATTGTGTTATATATTTTTTTATAATTAAAAAAAAAAATTATCAAAAAAATATTTTTTATTTGAACAAAACTCACGAACTCCGTCCATGACTAGGCCGATTGGGTCGATTTTGACGAAAAAATGCAGGTTAGACGATGAACCTAACTTATTGAAATCTAAATGGATTGAGTAATAGACTAGGACAAGTCTAATCCTACCTAATCCTTATACACACCTAGATATCAACGATGAGTAGTTTGAATTGTCAATACGTTAGACTTGATTTTTTTTAGTATGCCCTTATACTCTCAATATTATTAAGCTTTGTGCTTGAAATAAATAATGGAAATGATTCGATTGATAAACTCTGATAATATATTCCCTCTTGATCGAGAGACGGTGACAAATCGGAAAGTAAAAGAGAATGAAAATGAATTCATTCATATGAAATAGAATTACAAAATAATACTAAAGTTAGGTGACTTATGTACAACTTTGACCATATAATGGAAAGGAAGATAACAACCTAACCGAGCTAACCTTAAAACAGAAATTAACAAATGACAATAGCTTAATCTAATCTAGTAATCACATTTATTATGTTTATGACAAATGACAATAGCTTAATGTAGTCTATAGTAATCTCATTTATTATCTTATGTTTATGAGATGAGCGAACGACCAGTATTAAAATACGCTTTACACAATTACACAAACACGAGCCTTGTAACCTTTATTTTTCCAACTTCCATGTTCCACCTCTTTGCTATGTCTGTTTGAAAATCTTTTCATTACCTGAATGGCTTCAAACACGACAAACAACGAGGTACGAGGTTCACATCAAAGGTTACAAACATTGCTTCATCATCTCCAATCATCTTCCAATTCCAATTCCAATTCCACGTCCACCAATTCATTCCAAAATATTTCAATTTCAAATTCCAAACCCAACAAAATAGCAGCGGTTCTGATTTGTTTGTTCGAAGGCCAAGATGGGAATCTGAGAGTCATTCTGACGCAGCGTGCTTCTTCTCTATCAACCCACGCCGGTTAGTTTGGTGAATCCTTTTCCATATTTACCCTTTTTCTGGTAACACTAATTGGTTTAGCTTTTGGTTGCAGGTGAGGTTGCTTTGCCAGGTGGAAAGAGAGATGAATGTGATGCTGATGATGTTCAAACTGCGTTGAGAGAAGCTAAAGAGGAGATTGGATTAGACCCTTCTCTTGTTACTGTCATTACTCTTCTTGAACCCTTTCATACTAAGGTACTCACTCTTTATCATCAACTTCCATATAGATAGCCTTTCAGAGCGTGTAAGAAAGACTACCGCACAGAATCCAAAATTTGACATACTGTGACTTAAATGGGCCTCGTAAACTATTTGTCAAGTTAAACCAGGACAAAATAGGGTTTTTATTTGATTTGCCACGCTTAAATCGTATTTAATCTACACAGTGCCTCCGAAATCTTAAGACAATCCTATCTACCACAAATCTGTTATTCTCAGTTTTTAAATTTTTGATTCATTCTAAAGGGATGATGTTGGACCTTGTTATAACTTATGTCATCTAAGTGTGAAGGTTTTTAGAATTTTAGGTGATCTGGTTACTGGTTACTAGTCCATTTCTGCTATCGGATTTTCCAACAAGTAGTATCAGAACTTAGGTAGTAATTGTTAATGGCGGTTAAAGTGTAGTAATATGCAAGTATATTGACACGAACGAGGGAGTCTTCGATATATTAAGGTTACATAGGGTACAAATACCAGTATCATACTAAGTTCCCTCATGATCACTGGCCATTGGGATAGGACGGAAACATCGATCTTGTTGATAAAACTTCCCCGTGCATGATCCCTTACTGAGTTATTTTAATTGCAGTACGGCATCACAATAATACCGGTGGTCGGAATACTGTCAAACAAGGATGCATTTTCTCCAGTTTTAGATTCAGCTGAAGTTGAAGCCATATTTGATGTCCCCTTGGAGATGTTCCTCAAGGTTCTTATCTCATTTAAAATTTTACACTCTAATGTTGTTTGGTTTTATATGTATTTAGTCTTCGGCATGATCAAATGCAAAGGAACTTAATTTCATATATTGTTTGAATGCAGAATGATAATAGAAGAGCTGAGGAAAGAGAATGCATGGGAGAGAAGTATCTTGTACATTATTTTGATTACGAGGTAGACAGCAAAAAGTATGTGATATGGGCCATAACTGCTTCCATCTTAATTAGAGCTGCTACCCTTTTACTTCGGCGGCCGCCAGATTTTCTAGAGCAGAGACCTAAATTCTGGGGAGGAGTTACCGAAAATGACACGATGATACTACAGAGGAGTAGTTCACAATTGTAATTTTATTTCTATCTCTTTAACTTCGAATAAAATTTTCCAGATGAAATTGTACTGCATTTATATATGAAGCTATGCTTCATGAACACCTAATATTGTTACTCATGTTTGTTATGTTAAGTGTTTTATTCAATGCTGATGGCATCTGGCAGCTTTCTCTTGGCCTCCTACCATCATCATAAGAAGATAGATTTTCTCTTTTTTGTTAAGATGGGTGTAGTTCGAAAACACATCAGGGTGTATTTAGTAAGAGAAATGCTAGTCATACACTTAATGTTGACACTTACGCATTATTTTTATAAGGTTTTGTTTTTTATCATATTTAATAAGAGAAATGATACTTTGACACTATATTAAATGTTTTAAAAACCAGATCGAAGATGGAACTGATGACCACTTACGGTTTAAGGTTTAATTAGTTAAATCGCTTAAACTTATGCTCAAATTTTTTATTAAATAAAATGATGATATAAAACTAAATTTTATAGATATGTCACATTGTTATATGTTATCAATTTAATAAAATAAATATTTCAAAAATTAATTACAAATATAATACAACAATATCAATAATACATAATATTACATAGTTTTACATTTCATTTCAACAATCATTTAAGAATATTTTAACCAAACTAAAGAATTACAATAAAATAAATTAAACTAATTCAAATCAAATATAATAACTAAAATAAAATTTAAATAATTAAAAATACCTGAATTAAATAAAATATAAATAATATAATATACTTCATTAAACAACAAAAAATCGAATTTGAGTTGAATTACGACAAACAAGTCTTAATTGACAACAAATACTAATGACTTGAACGACAATCAATAGAGTTAGATATCAAGACTGTTCTGGACTGGGCCTCGGCTGGGTCGGCCAGGCCCAATCGCATCTCCCCTCGAAGGCCCAAAGACATTCTAGTCGGGCACGCATCTTCGTCGGGCACGTATCACGCGCTTGGTGCGGGGGGTCCTACCGGGCACGCACCACAAGTCAGGCACGAGTCTATAAGCTGGGGCGCGAACCACCTACCGGGCACGTGTTCATCTGACCACGAAATCCGCCACGGGCAGAATCTCCCCTACCGAGCAGGACAGACGTGGCCCTCACACGTCCTCCACGTGCTCCCCTCCGCGAGGACACGTCACACCCCAACTGCCCACCTCCGAAAGACCAGGCGCACTTTCCGGAAGTCATGGAGCAGTTGAACTAGGGCGAAGACCACGTTCTGGTCTTCTCTATGCCACATAAGCCCTAGCAGTCCTTTGGGTTGGGTCTGGCCATCCAGCCCAAACGACCGTTGGCCCAGCGCTGGGGTCTATAAATACCCTCTTCCACAAGAGGGTCAGGTATTCACTTCTTACCCTCTGTATTTGCAACTGCTCTGCCCAAATATCTTACTTTGGCATCGGAGTTCCTTGCAGGTACACCCCCCACCTTTCCTTCTCAGCACCGGTGGACAGGTACCAGTCCAACAGGACGTGGCCAGGCCGTGACCTCCCTTCTGATCAGGTCAGATCAGTGGCGCCGTCTGTGGGAAACTGAAACTTCCCTGTTACTCTGAGCAGATAACCAAAGTTTCGCCATCACTTACGGTCATGTCTAGTCCGCCCCACGGTGGTACGGTCCTCGAATTGGCCCACGCTCCCGGCACGAACGGTCGCAAGCAGACGGAGGTGTCCCAACATCCCGAAACTGATGAGAGGGACGGCCATACTGCCTCCTTTTCTCCCGACGAGACTGCCCACCAGACTGTTCGCAGGCCGAGGAGCCCGCCGACGTTCCAGCTCATTCCTATCCCGGCTGGAGCGGATCCGACGACAGCTGCGCTCTTTGCGGCCATCAACCAAACCAATCAACTGTTTTTCCAATAAAGCACTCGCATCGGCGCGCTGGAACGAGGAGCGCTGCAACGGTCCCCCTCGCGGGAAGACCAAAACGGCAACTCAAGGAGTCCATCTCCTCAACCCAGGAATCACCGACCAAGGTTGGAGAGACCCCAACACGCAGTAGCGCGGGAACGAAGCAGATCCCCAAGGAGACGAACCCGAGAACGACGCCAAACCAGAGGGGAACCTCCGGCCAGGCAGCACAGGGTAGACCCTCCAGCCAGACATCAAAGGTCAAGGAATCAGGCTATCCCGTCGCCGCGGTCACCTCCTCAGTCTCCGATTCTCAGCGACGAGGACGATTACCAGACCCTCTTGTCCCACAAAATCATGGCAGCCCCCATCCCTCACGGAATGGAAAAGCCTCTGACGCTCTCGACCTACGACGGTACCACCGACCCCGACGACCATTTGGAGGATATCGAGGCCATGCTCGAGTACCGCAACGTCTAAGGAGCCCATCAAGTGCAGACTTTTCCCAACAACGTTGAGAAAGGGTGCCATGACGTGGTATAAAAGTCTGGAACCAGAATCGATCACGACGTGGAGAGTCCTGAGAGATCTCTTCTCGAGGCACTTCACGGTGTCCCGACGCCATCCGAAAATCGAGGCCACACTAGGCGCCATAATACAGGGCCCTGATGAGCCTCTCCGAAAGTACATTGAAAGGTTTGCCCGGGAAGCTGTCCAAGTAACCACGTCAGACGAGATGAAGTGTTACCTCATGGAGCAGGGCCTACGACGGGAATCCAAATTTTACGAGGCCGTGACTATACACCGACCAGCCTCATTGCAAGATTTCCTCGACAGAGCCACTCATCACATCCGCTTCGAGGAAACCCAGGCAGCCAATTCCGCCCGCGAGACGCGAGACCAAGAAACCTCCTGGGAATCCCGAGAAGACGGGGCCTCCAACCACCGAAGAGGAGGAGACCGAAGAAGGGAAGACCGCCCTCGCGAATCCCGCGAGCAGCGCCACCCGACTGGTCGATTTACGGAATACACAGTCCTAACCGCTCCCCGCGAGCGGATACTGGCCGAATGCGCCAAAACAGAATTCGCCTAGGGTCGCGTCCATTTTCCCAAACAAACGGCCCTGAAACCTAACGTGGACAAATCAAAGTACTGTCGATTCCACAGGTGTCACGGCCATGTTACCGAGGAATGCATCCATATGAAAGACGCGATCGAGATACTAATCAAAGACGGACACCTAAAACGCTATACTCGGGGAGGAGAGCCTCAGCAGCAAAAAGAGGCCCTCGAAACAAAAAGGGCAGACAACCTACCTACTCCCGACGACGTCAATGGCCTTCAGGTCGCCCTCAACATCAATCGACCAGAGGACTGGTTCGCTCTCAGCAGATTTGATCCCCCCTTCAAACTCGACCTCCCCGAAGAGCCGATACGTCCAAATAGCCGATGGGAATACTTCCCAAAAGCGATGTTCATCTCAGGAGGGCCCCCGACCAAAATATTCGTAGGATCGGTGAAACGCAAATTCGAAGAGCTCATTACAAATAGCTCCAGCAAAATGAGCAGCCTGGAGAAATTTCGAGGACGGTCCAACCCGATCACATTTTACCTCGAGGAACTCCCCGGTGGTGCTCCCAATGTTGACATCCCCCTCCTGATACGGGCACGGATGGCGAATTTCGACGTTCGTCGCATCCTGGTCGATGGAGGAAGTTCAGTGGATATCATGTACACACACCTTTTCTCCACTCTCCAGCTCGACGAGACCAACCTATCCCCGTACTTGGGCTCCGACCTTCAAGGCTTCAATGGTGCGACAACAAGACCGTGGGGATACGTAGAACTGAAAGTCATCTTCGGCGAAAAGGAGACGGCCCGAGAAATCAACGTCTGTTTCTTGGTCGTAGACTGCCCGTCCATATACAACTGCATCCTGGGCAGAACAACGGTAGCCGAGCTCACCGCGGTGCCCTCCACGACTCATTTGAAGATGAAATACTATACCAGACGATGAGTCGTCGTCACCCTCAACGGAGACATCGACGCTGCATGCCGATGCTTCGAGGCAGCTCTGAAGGGGTCGAGTACCATCGGCGCACCGGCCAAGAAAGCAGCACTTCCCAACGGGTCAGAAGCCAAACCAAAGAGCCAGGTCGGATCGGTGGACCTCGACAGCCGCTTCAGCGAGGAGGTAGAACACGATGACAGCATCAACGACACGCTCCCAACAGCCAACGGGCAACCCACCTACCCAATACGCCCCATCCCAGATGGAGACTTCGAGATAGTCACCCTGACCGACGACGCCTCGAAGACTGTGAAGATAGGAGTTGGCCTACCCGCACTGGCGAGGAAACAACTGAAAGCTTGCCTCCGGGAAAACGCTGACCTCTTCGCCTGGAGCGCCGCTGAGATGCCCGGACTTGACCCCGAAGTCGCGTGCCACCAACTTTCCATCAACCCCGCCGCCAAGGCCGTAGCACAACGTAGGCATAAACAATCCCCCGAGAAATCGGAAGCTGCCGAGAAAGCTGTAAAAGACCTCCTAGAGGAAAATTTCATTTCGGAAGCCCGATATTCAACCTGGCTGTCCAACGTTGTACTTGTTAAAAAGAATAATGGAAAATGGAGCATGTGCGTTGACTACACAGATCTCAACCGGGCATGTTCTAAGGACGCCTACCCCCTTCCTAACATCGACAAGCTCGTCGACAACTCGGCGGGCTTCAAATTATTATCCTTTATGGATGCGTACTCGGGATACAATCAAATCCCTATGGCTGACCACGATAAATAGAGCACGGCCTTCATGACCGAATCAGGCAACTATTACTACAATGTAATGCTTTTCAGCCTGAAGTACGTCGGCGCCACATACCAGCGAATGATGAACAGCGTCTTCCGAAAAGAGATTGGAGACATGCTCGAGGTGTACATGGACGATATGATAGTCAAATTATACACCAAGGACGACCACACGACCCACCTCAAGAAGGTCTTCGAAACCGCGAGGAGCTGCAAAATGCGCTTCAATCCAGAAAAATGCACCTTCAGGGTTCGAGCAGGAAAATTCCTCGGGTTTTATCTAACCGAGCGGGGAATCGAAGCCAACCCCGACAAGTGTC